TTTGCTCTGTGCAAGATAGTATGAAACGGGATTGTCTCTCTAGTCGCTCTAGAAGGCATTTGACACCTCAGTTACATTTTCACTACCGAAATGACTGAGGGTGGCTTGTCATTTTTGACTAACAGTCGGGTTAGGCCATGGGATGTGGAAGTTCCTCCAGGATTAGCCTGGCATACATAAATACAAAGAGGAGGTGAACGGGGCCTTTAAGAATAATACCGATATATAAGGTATCGAGTGTGTTTTCAAATTTTAAAGTTTTAGTTGGTTTGTGCAGTGATGCACCTTGATTCTATTCAGCCTGTATGTACTTTAAAAACCCCTTTTCTGATGAGGTTGCCATTGTTTTAAACAATGTATATGGTGACAATTACCGAATAGTCTTGGTTAAAACCACTCCTTGTTCTAATCACTGTTAAAACCTTGTCTTTTCAGGGCAGACAGACATGTAGCTGTGAAAATACTAAGAAATGTTCCTTGGTACTCTAAAGCAATTCATAACGAAATACAGGTGCTACAGGACTTAAAAAAGTCGGATCCCAACAGGACACAGTGAGTAGACAAGGGCCACTATACTTTGTTTTGGCTTTTAAGATTTCTGTGACATCGCTTTCTGGACCGTATGATGTATGTATCTCGGCCTTCTACCGCTTCTGTTGCAACTGATGGATTTTCCTGCTCTTGCAGACACTGTGTCCAGATGTTGGAATGGTTTGAGTACCAAGGGCATGTCTGCATTGTTTTTGAGCTGCTGGGACTCAGCACCTATGACTTTATTAAAGGGAATTGCTTCTGGCCATTTACGCTGGAGCACATCAGACAGATGGCTTATCAGATCTGCAAATCTGTGAACTGTAAGTAGGTTTCCTTTTTGCTTTATTTGTTACATTTTCCCCACAGAATTTGCTAACTGTGTGTGTTACCTTGCAGTTTTGCACCAGAACAAGTTGATACATACAGATCTGAAGCCAGAAAATATTTTACTTGTGAATTCTGACTACACATACGAATATAACCTCAAACTGGTAAGTTGCTGTCCTCTTCCCCACCTCCCCCTCAGCTCTGGTCTGGGTTTACTTGGTCACTTGCAGCCCCTTGTGTGCCGTTTCAGGAACGCTATGAACGGAGACTAAAGAATACGGACATCAAAGTTGCGGACTTTGGGAGCGCAACGTATGATGACGAGGATCATAGCCGTTTGGTGTCTACAAGACCTTACAGAGCTCCTGAAGTGATCCTAGGTCAGTAAGACATCTGTTCGGCTGCTCTTGAGCATAGGACATTCTGCCTGCTATGGAACTGCCACAGCTGTGTCGCCTGTCTCGAGCGCTTGAGCTGTGGAAGTGTTTGCAGTCTGATATACATGTGAACCTTCTGCATCTTTTCACAGCGCTGGGGTGGTCACAGTCATGCGATGTTTGGAGCATAGGATGTATCCTCATAGAATACTACCTTGGACACGCAGTATTTGGGGTAGGTAACTGTGAAACTCCAAAGGGTGCAGCATGTATAATGCTCCTCAGCTTGGTGAAAATATGCTCCAGGGAGGTGGGGACTAAGGGGAAAGGTCTGTGCCAGAAACGAAGCTGCATTTCTCTGCAATGCCAAGTTGAAGAGAACAGAAGCTGCAGGCACAAAGGAACTAACTTCCTCAGCAGAAGAGTGCTACAAGTTGCTTCCAGTAAACATTGTGGCAGCAGCTCGATCGGAAAGACCACCCTGTGAACATTTGTAACGCGCAAGCCACACCAGTAACAGATGAGCTTCCTCTATCAGCATCAGCAAATACTACTCAAATAACTGAATTCTGTCATCTTGACAGTATTGCTGAAACTTACAAACAAAGAAGAGAAAGGATAAGGGAGGGACAAATAAGGGAAAAGAAACTTCAGTGCCCTGTAACTTCCTTCAGGAAACAGATGACTAGAGCCTCTCTATTTTCCTTAATCTGAAATGAGTTGCAGGGTACAGTCAAGAATGAAGTGTGGTTCTTGATAATTTCCTGTTAACGACATACCAAGATATCTCTCTCGCTTTCCTTCCAGGCCAATG